GCAACGTTCCAATGCGGAGTCTCGATACGGCATCGTTCGAAAGCAGTTGCGCCGCCTGCCCCCGCCGCCTACTAGCCCATAGACTGCCCACTCTCTCGCACTCTCGGCTTAGGGCTTAGATCACTCATGGCCTAAATCGAGGCTGCAGAGCGCAGTCGTAGTCGTATATATAGCTTTGCCCGCACTCGCAACCTTCTGTGAAGACAGTAGGCCTATAGCTAGAAAACATTAAACAATTCGTAGCTAAATCTATTTCGTATTTAGTTAGCAGTATATTTTATTGAAACGCCTTCAAGTGCCTTGTGTCTAGTTATAGCCTAGGGTATTCATAACCCTAGCAAAAGCAGCGTTTCTTGCTAGTCGTTAGTAGTCTAGCTAGACTAGTGTTCAAGGATAGAGCGAAGAAAACATGGCTCCCAATATTATATGTGGCGCCCAATGTATGGCATGGGGCAATCAAAACCAGATGCTCAATTTACAATCAATATAAATATAATAATTATATCAATATAATAGGTTAGGGTTATGGTTTAGGGTTTCGCTCATTAGTTAGATAAGCTTAATATACTTCCAGTAGCTAACTTAGTAGTAATTATTGTAACATTGTACTCTCACCAACCGGTGCCGGTCGTGCCGTATGTGGTTTAGCCGTTCTTTAGCATATATTCCCATCGTACCAGACCACTTGCAGCCCAACAGCTCCAGAGAGACACGTGGTATACATATCCACACCTACGGCCTACGAATACTTGTATTACTACAAGTACATATGTATACAATAATTACTACTAAGACTACTACTCAGTACTCAGTAGTAGTAGTACTACTAAGCTTACCAGCCAACTACTAGCCTACATAGTACTTAGTACAACTACCAGCGGACCTACCTGCCTGCCGTACGCCTACGTGCTCTGCTATATATATACATGCTTGAAGTCTGGACGTCATGATGCCGAAACATCACAGCATCGGGGTAATACAGGCCACGCTCAGACATACATCAGGTGTAAACAACCATAAAATCAGTCAGGTTCTGCCGTGCTCAAAAGACTCGGTACGGATCGCTTCATTCGCGGCCAAGTCTCTTTCTGCTACACTATAAGTTAGCTGCCAAGTCCCTCCGGCGGTAGTCAAACTCGTGTGCACCGCGGGGCAGTCGTAGTAACATCGAGTGTAAACAACCATAAATCAGTCAGGTCTGCCGCACCGTCGTGCCCTCAAAAGACTGGTACGGAGGCCGGTCACTCTCTGCGGGCCGCAAGTCTCTCTTCGCTACACTAAAAGTTTAGCCGTGGAGCGTGTCAAAACTCTGCACCCGCGGGTGCCAGTCTGACAAGAACAATTTCTTTGGCAAAATCGCTGGAAGAAGCCTCCGTCACGCCATGCTTATGGGCCGCGAATCTCACGACGAATATAGTTCAGGGCGTGTAATTAAAAAATAGAAATCGCTTTCTAGAAAAAAAGGCCTTAGACGGCGGCCAACGGAAACAAAGCTAGCCTAATTAACCGACCATTGGATTTGTATGTCTCGCCCTACGGTGCACAGTCGAGAAGGCCTTCGGCCAATCGACCAGAACCTGGCCCCTCAACTTGACCGGATCTTACAGGCACATTGTGACTGATAACCTGCGTGAACAATGGTTCTAGAATATAGCAGCCAGCGAGTTATCCAAATGGCGCCACATGCGGGCGTGGGCCGCCTGTTCTCCGCGCTTCCCGCGCGTATATTCCGGGTGCAGACTGTCCGAGCGTTCTACATGTTTAGTTGCAATCACTGCAAGTAACATGGGATACTTTGTGAAACTTAAAGTGCATTAAAAGCTAAACTTTAAAAACACCCCCACCAGTATAGTTACGTGTGCTTGTAAACCTGTCAAAGTTACGCTGCACAGGGGTCGTGTGTCGTATCAGGTACTACCAGATATGCTATCCCGAGTAACATATAGTGTATTACACAAAGTCCGTACCAGACTTGTACTACAGAAGTTAGCCTCAACCCTAACCCTAACCTAACATACCTCATATGAATGAGTGTCAATGACACTGTGATGAGCTCAACCACAAAAAAAGACAGCAAAATGAAAGCTGTTTCAATGACACTGTAGCTCACCACAATCAACGAGCACCCTGACAACACGGCGCTCTGCTGTCGGCTCACCTCATCTCCCCGACCGTCCGTTCGCAAATCCTACTGCACTCTACACCAATCGTGTCACACCATTCTCAAGTCGTGCCCGTTACCAGCCTCACCAAACTCTCACACCTATATGCCAGACACGCCAGTTGCGTACCATCACTCCCTCCTTCTAGCGCACACCTGCTCCGACTATCGCAAGCATGCGAGGCGGTCAGCTCGCCCCTGCCTGCAATGGCCTCAGGCGTGAGGGTGGGGGGAGGGGTGGGGTACCTCGTGGGGCGTGAACGCGGACCCAAGGCCCGGGTACCGGCGGCCGTTGCGCGGGGCAGCGGGCCCAGTCCAGAAGGCGGGGAGGGTGCCCGGGGGCAACAGGGCGCTCCTACACTAGCGAAAAGCAGTTCACGTTCCTTTTGCGATTTATAACACTGTCAACAAATCCATCTTAACCCTCCTTTTGCAGAGCGAGTACAATAAGGCGTTATCCGCGACACTTACTCTCGCCATGTCAGCAGACGAGGGACATTTACATGCGCTCCTTTCAGATCAAAGCCATAAAATGGCTAGGTCCACCGCTGAAACAAAAAAGTTTTCTCAATCGCTCCGTCAGACCATGTCCTCTCAGAAAATGGTCTAAAATCTCCGTGTGCCGGCATCTGTGACCTTTGACCTGGTGACCTCCAATTTCGCAACTATATGGTGCTTTTCCCTACCATTCTGATGCTACTACACCGACTTATCACGAGCCCTAGGCCTTCCGACGCCGGTCTTAGATTTGTGTCGCCGCAATCTGCATCTTCCTCCCTATACCTTAGTCTTAAGGATTTCCGCTAATGTTCCCCGCTCCTGGTACACCTCTTGCACCTCTCTGACCTCCTTGACCCCCAGCTTCGACATAACCCAACTCGTTTCTGACGCATCCCCCCCCAACCACCCAACGCACCCGAATATCGGCTGGACCGTAACATACGAGTCTACCTACGCGCGTTATAAGGCATTTGTAGCCCAACTGGTTACGGTACCCGCTCAACAGTTCGCCCTTCGCCCGACCTATACGCGTCCACCCCTTACCCAATCCCCCCTCTTACGCCGACACAGCCAACTCCCCACTCCCCTCTTTAACATTCCCCCCAACCGGTTCTCCACGCACAGTCACTGCGGGCATCTCATCTAGCCGCCGCCCATCCCGCAACCCCCTTCCCACTCTCATGCTCCCGCTTCTCCAATACCACGAGCGAGACGCCACCTTCCTCTCTGCTTTCCAATCCTCCCCGCTCCCTCGACCCATCCGCCTTTCTTACGCTACACCCCATCGCACGACTTCTAGTTACGACCACGGCAAACAAATCTCGCCACTCCAGTACCATTCTAGCCCACCCCCCAGCTAAACGTCACCGATCACTCGCGAATCCATACAACTGTCATAACTGACTACGTCAGATGACTGCTACACACATAGGACACAACCGCTAATTACAACGTGCAGAACCAAGACGTCCAGCTCTTTAACTCATTGAGCAACCATCGGAAGATATTGTCAATGAAATCTTGTAAAACGAACCAGACGAGTGTGACACCACAGACTGTTTGTGTTTATATAATATGCTATATAATTGCCAAACCCTACCTAATTTGCTTAATTTTTTTTCAAATATCAAAACCTCTAGCCCTTATTCATTCACATACCAAAAATGAGCAAAATCCGTTGAACCTGAACTGACTAATGGCAATTCCCATTTTTGCCAAAAAATAGCCGTGGCTCGAAAGTACGTCGACTGGCGTGCTTCAAAATAGGACGTTTAATATGGGAGCATAGCAGTAACTATACCCAATTTCAAACATGTGGGCCAAACGGTTCCTGAGTTATCATTGACCGAAGTTAAATGTTGACGGACGGACGGATGGACGAACGTACGACGGACGACGACCCATGGCAATAGCTCAGCTTGACGACGTCAAGGTGAGCTAAAAATCATCGAATCCAAGATCATAAATGATAGTCAAAATGCGTGTTAAAACAGTGTCCCTAATACAGGCAAACCCAACACGGACTGTGCCTACTTTAGCAAATTAGCTTTTAGAAAATCAAAGGAAAGGAAAATTTTATTTTAGTCTCAACTAGCGCCTCCTGTTGGCAGAATTATCAGTATGTTGATGGTGGCCAATATAGAGTAGAAGTAGAAGTAGCTAGTATATACCACAGAAAGGCTAGTAATCTTTATTTGCATCGCTGCTTACGCTTCACCAGCCTAACTTTGCAAGTATATAATGATATATATATATGTTTACTCTCCATTCTATTTCCTTATTTCTGACCTTTAAAATAAGCCTAATAGCAGTGATCACTACCCGTATCCTTATCGTATAATCCTGTACATGGATAGATTATTTATAGAAATATACGAATTTTTGACAACATCAAAAATCCCCAAAGTTCATAATTATAGCACAATTTTGTTCACTCATCACACTACAGACATTTCACATTTCCACTCGTCCGTTGCAGGTTCCTGCTCCTTGTCCTCTGGTACCTCTGAGGGAAAGCGAGGCTTACGGACATGCATGACCTCATAAGGGGTGTGTTTGGTTGACTCGTTGAAGGATGACCGTAGACCCCAACAAGCCTGTTCAAGGTAGAGGTGCCAGTCGTTCTGCTGCTCATTGACCACCTACAACACAATGACCTCATGCAGTCTATTCATTCTCAGTTTTCAGAAATTAAACAGGCTCTCCCAAGAACAGAATCCACTTTTTGTTAATGATGTATTACATCACTGTTAAGCTCTCAAGGATTTGTATTTGCTATTTCTATTGATAATTGAGATGTTGATATTCCAATGTTTGCTGGATGCAGTATTTGCCTTTGAAAGATGGCGTTTCAAAGACCCATTTGTACGCTCGTCTTGGCCGTTGGTTTGTGGGTAGTAAGCTGCTGTCACCAGGTGGCGAATACCAAACTTCTCACAGATCTGTTCGTTCAGTTTCTGTGCAAAAGAATCAATATCATAAACTAACCCAGTTAAACAATCATATTTGGTTAGATCATTACTGTTAATTTTCATTGGGTACATTATTCAAGTTTAGTTGTACCTTGTTGTTAAATTCTTTGCCTTGATCTGTGATGATCTTCAGTGGGGCCCCCCAGCGGTGGATCCACTTTTTCAAGGCCTGTAATACACTGTCAGCCGACTAGTCACAGACTGGTTCAGCCTCCACCCACTTCGAGAACAGGCAAGTTGCTGTCACTACATACTTGTGGCCAAGGTTGGTCTCAGTGAAAGGTCCAACTAAGTCAATGCCAACAAGTTCCCATGGCTGTCTGGCCTGTCAAGTATAGCAAAGAAATTTAATTTTATGACACCCTTTAAATGGTCCTTTCCTGAATTTCGTTTCAATATTTTGTATACTACAAATGGCTATTATGAGGAGCATCATTATTAAATTTTTATCCTCGTACCAAATGAATTAATTCTAAAAGAATTATTTTACTAGTTATGAATTCTTCCCAAGTAGTGAATCATAAATTGAGATAAGTAGCATATAGTTATCTCATGTATTGCTTGTTTTGACAACCGTTCCCTTTTAATTGCAGCATTACTTACATAAATAGGTGTCAGCTCAGGCACTATTGTCTTTATCTTGTGCACCTTCTGGCATTGGGGGCATGTGGATATCTACAGCAGACAGAAAATACTATGCTAACATCCAACATATGGAATAAAGGCTATTGGTTAACTTTTAATAATAATATGTGGATATCTGCAACAAACATAAAATACTACACCAACATATGGAATGATTTGTTAACGTTTGATAAGAATTTATGTTGTACACTAAGCAGAATTGATGTACCTAATAATGGATAAGTAATAATGCCTCAAGAAATTTACCCAGTGTTAAACATCTTCTGTAATGCTTTGCCAGTAGAAACGATCAGCGATGTTAGCCTGAGTTCCTTTCTCTCCCATGTGACCTCCAGTCGTGCCCTGGCCGTGAATATCTTTGAGTACAGCCTCAATCTGAAATAATATCACCACAATATTATTAATTCTTAAACTGTTCTATTAGTCCTGCATTATAGTGAGAATATGATATGCACCTCTATGATATAATTTCTAATGCAAGGCCAGACCAAATTTATTCTATGGTCTATGGATTCTGATGTAGCAAAAGTGGCATGAATATGGCACATTTTAATATTGATTGTAAAATTTATTTTGCCTTTGATACCCATGCCTCCAGGTAGTGGTGTACCTGGGTCTGAGTCTCAGCACGGGGACAAACCTATTACATTTTTTAATGTACACCAAAACAAAAACAACAGAAATTAATATATGTTTTCCTTTTTTAAGCCAGGTGGCTTGCAGGGGGGGGGGGGGCAGCTTGCCCCCTTCAAATATGCTAGTGAAGAATCTTTAAACACACTAACCTCCTCTCTTGTGAAAAGCACTTTAGTCCTTTTAGGAGGCAGTCCCTGTGTCTTCTTTGAAGCCTTGGCAATACGATACAGAGTATCAGTTGCAGCTGTATTAAATAACAGATGAAAAGAGCAGGGCGGGGTAAGATTTCACACCAAGTGCTGGAGATTTTATGTCATTGATCAACAACAGATCAAATCCAAGCTATGGGTACAGGCTTTGTATACATTCATGCGTACTGGGACAAATGCTATCGTATCTGTACTCTATGTTTTGTACATGTATGCATAAATGAGTGTTTTCAATGGGTATTTTACTCAAATTCGCATGCTGTCTGAAGCGCTGAGCATTGTAAAATTTTACATTAAAACTAGTTGAATTTCAGTTGAAATTATGTCAGTTATTAATTTTTATAAGTGAAGAGTACAAAACTATACATATGATATATCAACACTGCATAAGCATTGCAGTGGAAAACACTGCAAATTTGCAATTTACCAACGATGAAGAGAAAGATCATACATAGCTGTTTCCATGACAGAGGGGGGGAACGGGTATTTTCGGGACGCGGTATTGGCCATTTTACTTGGGAACTGGGAAATGTCAGATAAATTTTCCGTGATTCGGGAACAGAAGTCCATCGGGACGTGGGAAAGACCCTCTAAAATTGTCTGGGATCTGAGAAAATTGTGTCAATTCGTCGGGATTTCAATTTTTGGTGTGTTAAGAGGCCTTTCGGAATTTTTTACCCTGCCTTTTGCGCCTTTTAGTGTTTAGACAGCATATATTATGGTAAATTACCAAAAGGCACCGAAACGCAAAAAAAATCCACCAAAACGCATTGAACGACGATGAAAAATCCAAGGAAAGATACGGAGAAATCAGTAAAAATAACCATAAAACATTTACTTATAAAACATCCTAGAGATGGCGCTGTGGCATGTAAACATGCTCCGAATTAAGTATTTGTGTACCTCATTTCGGGCCGAGTCCTTGATTTTTAAAGAATTTCGGTGGAATTTTTTTGGACATTTCAGCTCCGGACGTACTGCTTCTTTCGGTGCCTTCCGGTGGAATTTGATGTTCTCATAGCGCCTTTCGGTGCCTTACGGTGCCTTTTGGTGTGCCTTTCGGTGCCTTTTGGTATGCCTTTCGGTGCCTTTTGGTGACTTTTGGTGCATTTCGGTGCTTTCGGTAATTAGACGGACACCTCAAATGGTGCTCATTTTTGTGCCCAGGGACCCTTGAAATTTTGAAATACCGGACCGTACCCAGGGTACGTTCCGGCAGTACCCTGGGGGACATAGACCCTATGAGCTCTAGCTTCAGCCCTGGATCCGCCCCTGATAGTGGACATACTCTGGTTAAACACTGAATATTTGTCTCGTGAAATTCATAGATTCCTGTTTATTATCGTAATCATAATGCAATTATCATTTTTATATTACAAATACAATTATTAATTGTTGTGCTTGTGAAGTTGTGGTTGTAACTTGTACTTGTACTTGTAGTTGTAGTCCGAGCCGACGCAGACCCCAGTAATGGGATAAACCCGCACCCTCAGATTAGCAAAGCAGAGTTATAACGTCTGCATTTGCAGACTATATTGTAGTTGTACTTGTAGTTGTAGTCCGAGCCGACTCAGACCCCAGTAATGGGATAAACCCGCACCCTCAGATTAGCAAAGCAGAG